GAGGTGAGCAGCAGCAGCTGCTGCTGCTGCTTTTCCCAGTAGGTTAGACCGGGATGAAAATTCCGCAGTGGCAATAATTCGTGTCCGCGCGGCGTCGGATGGCTTTTGCCAAGGGATCCTTCGATAAAAATTCCAGGAAAGCCAGCGTCGAGCGGCGACGGGGCAATTTCATTCCTGACATGGCGGCATGTCGTGCGTGTTCATTTGACCCGTTAAACCGGCCGTTGTGTCGGTAGACCGCGGAAAAATGAAATTATTTCCGTTTTCACTGCCAATGTGAAATACGAGCGAGAACAATAGTGAGCGACAAACGAGAAATTTGTGATGGACACCTAACATTTCACTGGAAGTTGTTGAATTATTATAGAAATGGGCACATGGCATTGTATTAAAAAAAAGATCGTTAACTCGTTCAGGGTTGCCACAAAACTAGAAATCAGGGAAATTAGAGAAATGTCAGAAAAATTGAAAACGGTCAGGAAAATAATGAAATTTTGTCTGGAAACCAGGGAAAAGTTATGAAATTTTAGGATGAGGAATTTGTAACAATCCTATCATTCATCTGGAAAGATATTTCAACGTTTGCAAGATTATTGCGTTTTTTCAAGCCTAATTCTTAGGAGAAAACACGTTAAAAAAGAAGGGGATAAAAAATCGGTCTACAATTTCCTCTACGACAATTTTCTACGGAAATGTTTAGGCATTTACGGAGTTCAAAGACCGTGCGATACTTAGAGCTTGCTTCTCTCTCTCTCTTTCTCTCTCCCTCTATCTTTTTTTTTTTTTCAATTACCATTTGATTCAATTCACGCGTGCCTTCGAGCTTTGTTACTGCGCGAAATAAAGCGGGCAGTTTTCGTTTCGTCGAAAAATCGCGCCGATAAATTCCGGCGATTCGTTCTGGCGCGGCGCCGGGGTGAATAACGGCGCCGCCCCGGTTTTTCGCCTGCAAATATATTGCACGTATCCCCCATTTCCCCCCCGGACGCTGCATATACTAGGCTATTTTTTTAGCGGCCGGTTTCCAACGCTGGACCCCTTTAACGACTCATCCGACACTTTTAAGCCTAACAGGTGGCAGATTATTGAACTCTTTCGACGGAGAGAAAAATATGTCCGTCACCTGTATCCGCCGTATTTCTTCTTTCTCTCCCTTTCTTTCGCCCTGCAATTTGCGTTTCAGAATTTTTTGTACGTTGCACGCAGGTATTTGGGTGCGAATCGTGAGAACAGCATATCTCGCATATCGGTAATTACGATCGCATTGATGTACCTAATCGCGATAGAATCAACTTTCAACTTTTTTACACAGTGTCATTTCATCTTACTCTTATCTTACTGAAACGCATTGTTAAAGATTCAGGACGTAACAGCTTATATAACATGCAGCTCGTTAGAAAATGAAACTATATTACTCTGACGAAACATGGATTTTTAATGATTTTATTAAGACTAGTTTTATAATTAACGGTTATCGTTTCTTTTAATATGTACTAATATTTTACGTTCATTCGATAACAAATTTTTACAATATATATGTCTTTAAGCGTAATGACAAGACTTGTTGCGCATATCTTTTACGAAGCTGCAAAATGTACACATTTCCATAAATATTTTTTTTACGTTGTCACTCGCGTAAATTCAATAATATTTAATCTGAAAATCGGCCGTTATATCCGCGTTTGTGTTACGTCGTCCATCCAAAATAGGCGATATGAAATTACGAGCGATCGTTGCGCTCGCCGTTGCACTCGTTGCACTCGTATGTGAAGGCGTATGCATGCGGGTATTTTCGAGCTTTATGCATACACACACATCCTACACGGAAATGGAAATGCCTGTGCGATGCCATGCGACTGTTCCGCTTGCGAAATACTGAATTGAACGCGAACACATCGCCTCCCCCCTCCCCTCTCCTCTTCGTACCCGGCTGTGAAAAATCAATTTGTTTTGTAGCAGTTCGATCCACACGTTTCTCTCTTACGAAATTCCGCTCTTTGCGGAAGATTTATATGGCGACACGAATTATCGGATGGCTTTGTCATACAAATTGAGATCCGGTGCGTGACTATATCCGAGAACGCGCTCTCTGATAAATGATGTTAAGACGGCTACTACTGACTAACTTAGAAAAGACTTATTAATGTATGTGTTAATTATTCCTATATTTGACGAACTGAAACGAATAATAAATTTACGAGTGATTATAAAATTTTCATAGTTTATAACTGCATTAGTACAATCTAGTTTTTCTAATCTAATCTATTCTATTTTTATTCAATTCATAACAGTTGGAAATTATAATTTTTTCATAAAAAGTATAGGTTAGGTTGACAAAAAAAGTCTCTTATAAGCAATATATTTATATTTTTTGACCGTATATTTGAGAAACTCAATTAATACTAGAAATTTAACTGCCTATTACGGTCGGAGCTGAATCTTCGTTGCTTTTTAATAATTCAATCTTGAATTACTAATATATACTATATATGTACTTGCATATATACCATATATTGTAGTCTTTTTCTAACTGCGCGCCGAATTGTTTTTCCGGATTAAATAAACGCAATTAAAACTACTCTAGTAATCGCGAATTAAATTGACAAGCAATTTAATAATTTGATGCTGCCATCAAGCATCATATATTATAAAGATGTTAATATATAAAAACTTTATATATAATAAATAAAGTTTTTATATAAATTAATATATAAAGTTTTGTGTTTATCAAATCGTTATCAATCAAACTGATACTATTTGTTGTCATTTTGATGTTAAATAACGTTAAAGATGTAATTTTGTTTGCTGAATTTTAATTTACAAAAAAACAAATAAACGTGGAATGTTAGTTATATCTTATGAAAAATTAAAAATAATATTCAAAATGTGTGCGAGTGAGTGAGGTGAGGGAGTTAAGCTAAATAATGGCGATATAGAGAAAAACGTGGAATATTTATGCATGATCGGATAAAATATTTTTTGTTTCTCTTATAACATTAATTGTAAATAAAAATGCGAGTGTCGCTCGAAGATAGTATCAAAGCAAGCACGTGAAACCGGTGAAAGTGTGTTGTCATCTATACTCTCTGTGTATATCTACAAAACCTATATTCATTTTCATTTTACGGCATTTTACCATCAAACTCGCATGCGCGCTAAGCAAATCCGCCTCTCGAGGTTTAATAAATGATGTCACGCGGGGAACACCAACAGGAATTAACTGAAACGAAATACGACGAAAAAGGATTAACGGCGGAACAAAACCTTAGTAATCCTGAATCCTCTTGCGCATTACCGGATTGGCCATAGAAATTTATTTTCACGTTTTCTCTGGCGCGCTTTCTTCCGTTCTCTTCCACGCGATGAAATTTTTAGTACTGTTTCAGAAAAATGTTGTGCGCTTTGCTACGTTCGTTGGCAGGCTGAATAATGTGATAAACAAGATTTTATTCATGAGATTAATACACGTACCTTTGTGCTTGTAAAACGTAACAGAGCGCAACGTTACATTTTTATTCATTAAAAACTAACACATTACAATTCCCTTGCCTGTAGATCTGTTTCTCTCAATAGTAAAAAAGAAGAAACTAAAATTATAACGAATTCCACACACTTAACGAGTGCACAGAAACATAATGTATCTCATTAATTTTATTTTAATTGTTGTTACATGTAATATGTTGAACTGTAATATTTTTGCGATATTATCCATTCAGGATAAAAAATAATTGTCTTACGTATACAAAAAGTATTCTTTTCTTATATTGTCCAAAAATATTTGTTATTAATTTACGATAAAGTATAAATCTATTTTAGAGAGAGTTTTAACTTAAGAGGTCACATATCATATTCAAAATCAAATGGAAGTAAAACAATCTCTTCTGATTGCTCGAAGCTAGCGGCAATAGGAATTTAATTTTAGCACTGGTTAGTTACATGAGGAACATGTCCTCCACGTTCTAGCACTCGATTAAACTGCGACATTTCCACGGAAACTTTTCGTTTCGCGGGTATATACGATCTTCGCTTCTCGTGCCCATTTGGGAGACACGAAGATGTCATCTGTACTAATGTACGTTCCTTGTCATGAAAACCAGCTTAACCAATATGCGATAATCTGTTTGCCTAACACGAAAATCTAGACTACTTATTATTTATAATTATTATTTATACTGATTGTTATTTATTTTTTCATTCTATGTTATTTTGCAGTTTTGATATCTTTCTTAATCTTTTGTGGTTCATCCAATATTTCTTTTTATATATTAATTTAACCGGGTCACTGATGTCTAATTATATATGCTTCAAAGAATCTTTGGGTTTTAAAGATCTGAAAAAATTCTGGTACACTTTTTCGACATTTAATAATACAATTTTACAATGATATAACCCGAAATGATTTTCACTTTTTTGTACGTGTCCGAATTTGAGGCGGAATAATTTAAAATTGGAAATTTGCCAACTGGATCTTCAAAGCCTTGGTTGGACCACGAAGGGTTAATTGCGAATCGATCGCATATCTGCTTTGGCAGAAATATGTTACTGATATATAAACAGATACACTACATTCAAAAGATAAACCATGACGCGTTGCACTGAAAAAAAAATTTACGAAGTTTTAATAAATATTTATTAAAATTTTTTAAGTTTTTTTTAGTGTACGTTATACAATCACAAATGAAAAATATAAATTAAATTAGAAGTTTAAAAAGTATATAAATTAAAGTATTGCCATTTTAGAATACTATTCTTTTATAATTAGAATTAATCTGAGAGACTTTTCTTTCCTATTATACAATTGCAGAACGATTTGTTGAAATCTACAGATTTGTTTGTAGAATGGAATGCTTTATTACATTTAACAATACACTGTTTCGACGTACTGTAGCTTTCAGGAAACGGTAGCTAATTATTCGCTTAGTTAAAGTCGAAGTTAGTTACAATTACGCGACAAACTTTGGCACGACTAATAATAACATCATATATCTGTATTGTTTCAGATTCGTGCTAGCCTCGTCCATTTTGACTTTCGTCCCTTCGTTAGGTGAGTAACATCGTTAACATTGTTTGTAAAATCGGATTGTAAAGCATATTTCATAGTTTATAGAATAGATAGATACACTTACTTGTGTAATTGAGACTTTGGGATTTTTGCGGGCATATAATTTAAGAAACTAGTTTTTTATCAGAAAGATTTCGGAACCCCCTTGCCAAGAATTCGCCGTTATTTTAGACTAGTGCGGGCTTCATTAAACGAGTAAATTTCTGTACGACAATCATTGAAACGGTTTTAACAAAGAAAACGCATTTGGCAAAACGCAGAGGGAATGAGAGCTTGATGTGCGTTACGCAGAAAACAGCGACGAGAAAGGAGTCGTTAAAAGGGAATGTTGTAGAATCGCTGCTTCTTTTCACAGTAGGAAAATATGGTCCTCTAACAGAAATGTGAATGTACGCTGAAAAAAGGATTCACAAAGCGAGAGAAATATTTACGTCATATCTTGCATCGGATATAACGATAAATTCATTGGATAAGTTAATTACTACAAATGTCTATAGGTCTGCGAGAGGTGCAACTTCCACTCACCTATAAAGATTTGATTTATTTTTTAATACGCTTTAAATATGTAACCTCCCGCCGCCGCCGGCAACACTGATGGGACACTATCGATGTTTCAATTCTGTAAATTTTAATATAGATAAATTTAAATCTGTAAAAAATAAAGTTTGTAAAAAATAAAGTACAGATAAGTTCGACTTCTACGATAAAAACTCGTTGTTAAGTGTCAAGCTTTGACATGAGTTACATCAAAATTTTTTCAGATTTTTATAGAATCTAAAATAGTAAAAAATTTGTTCTGTTGCTCGAAGATTATGATGTTGACGGAAACGAATTAAAATTTATGTGGAGAATTAAAAATCTAATCATATAGAAAACAAGACGGCACAATTAAGTTAATAATTATTTGGAATTTAGAACTCATATTTTTTTGTCGCAAATTTTTATTAATATCTGAAAGTGGCACTGGTTTCATTTGGTTAGTACTAAATTTTATTTTTAGTTCGCATGTATATTGAACGATATGTCGGTATTAAATTAGATTCAGTCTGAAATCTACATTTAGAGCGGAAATATTGTCTGCATTGCGAATTGTATCAATATGTATTCAACTTCGTTATTTGACTTTGGGAAGGTATTGAGTATAACGAATACGCTCAGACGCGATTCTTTCGCATAGAAAAGCATGCAACACAGAAAGAATCGTTAACGACGCCGTGTGCCAAAGGGACTGTGCGATGGTAAAAAGCACGTGTGCAACTGCCGCCGCTCGAGCTTCGCGCGCGCATTGGTGCATTTACAGACAAAACTGCGAAGATGAAAGAGGGACAGCGTCGGGGAATGGGATAAGGCGAAAAATCGGACTATGGCGACGCCGCGACGGCAGGGTGACGGATGGAAAATGCACTCAGCTCTCTCGATTCAACCGGCCACAGTGGTAACGTAGTACTTTTCATCCTGCGATCGATGCGTGGCCGCCGCCGCCTTGAAAGCGCGCGAAGGAGCGACGAGGAGGAGGAGGATCGGCTCGAAAGAGGAGTCGGCGAGGAGGTGAAACGCGGTGGAGAACGAAGAAAGGTGGGTGGATGGGATGGACGTGCACCATCTTGCACTCCATTCCGCGGCACTTCTGCGTCGCCGCCTTCGCGCCCGTCTCTCTTGCTCGAAGCCTTTTCTTTCTTCGCTTTAACTCTCTTCGCTCGCTTTTTTTTTTCGCGCACACTCGTCTCTTTCCGCCCTCACTCATGGCGTTCTTGGCGCCGAGCTCTCGAGGATGAATCCCGAAGTGCCGGAAGATCCAGGACTCGGAATGTTGCGACTGCGAGCTTACACGCATCGCCAGTTACGGGGAGAGAAACGAGATTCACCCCGTCTTTTGTAAAGAGAAGTAGTTCGTACCGTCATTTCCCGAAATTCCGACGTCTCGTCTTGCTTACTTTGCTACGCGGAACCACCGCGTACGATTCCAACGAGCCGTGCGACTGCCTTCGCATTCCTTTGCGGCCGGGTTAACGGATAAAATTGTTCCTTTGCTCATGAACAATATCCGCGTTCAACGCTTTCGTCCTCCTCTAACAATGATCCTCTGATAATGTGGAGACACTGTAAGCCGATGATAAATGGTGCGAAAGGATAGATTATGCACAGGGTTATCGCAAAACTAGAAAACAGAGAGATCAGGGAAATGTGTCACATGGGAAAAAAAGGTTCCCTGTCGCAGCTAATCTTGGTTTGTTCAAATATATTTGCTGCCGTAACTATCAATTTATTAACTATGGCGAGAGAAATGGTTTGTTGTTGCTGTTATAATATAGGTATCACAGCTAAGATATTAGCTGTGGTATCCATATTTTAGTTGTCTATATTTTACATTTACGATTTAGTTACCACACGCAGTTTAAAAAACAAACTTAAAAAACGTTAGAAAATTAAAATTTGTTTTAAAGAAGTGTTTAATGTACGTACATCACACCTATGCAGTTTTGGAATACCTCCAACTTAACAATAATTGCAAGCAGTGTCAGTAACAATAATTTACATTACTGTATTAAATTTCTCTCTACTAAATATTTGACGGTTTCTAAATCAGGACGAAAATAAAAAAATTTCAAAATATTATTAAAAGCATCAGGGTAAATCATAACATTTTGTGTGGAAATCAGGGAAAAGTTGTGAAATTTTGGGATGAGGATTTGTGATAATCTTGTTTTGGAAACGTATATCTTTTTATTTATCATCTCTCAAAAGTTTGATGAAACTGACCTTAGGCATAGTTAGTTTCAGTGACCCTCTTACTCTTAGACTCGTTTTGATCGTTGACACGAAGGGTAGCATTCTCCCCCGTGAAATGTTTCTTCGTAAGTAATTACGAAGAATTGCTCGAAGCTATATTACTCTCTTTAAATGGAACAATTTCCTACTTAATTTAAGTGCTTTGGTCTGCGTGCGATATACAATCATTAACATAAGAGGCAATTCTAAAGGACAGTTTTATATCCTATTACTCAAATATTCTGAGACACGAGAAATTATACCAATTAATTGTACTAATAATTCTACTACTAATTGATTATAGCAATTAAATTGTCTACATGGAATTTTGTATACTGTTAATATGATTGCGTTTTACTTTTTTGAAATGATTCGATAGACACGTAGTAGTGAGAATCCATTATTCCGTGTATTAATTTATACACACTTTTCGTACGTTAAAGCTCACAGGTTTGGACTGCAATAACATAAAGTGAAATATTATATTTCTGCTGAATTGAATATACGTTATCGAATAGTGTTACTTGCAAACTTTGTGCAATCCCCTGGGCAGTGTGAAGCTCCAGTTTAAGTGACGAGTATGCGCGGCAACAAACCGTAACCGGGGATAGTTTATGGGGATAGTAGTAGCTGAAACTCCCTCAGAGTCATCGATCTGTTCCCAATGCATGAAATTAAGACATCCGTGACGTTATAGACACGTGACTTTACATACGTGACGTTACACTATCTGAGCATTGTTATAGTTAGTCGGAGGATCTGCAATGCAGACCTCGTATCTCGCGAATCAAATATATTACGATCCATTTCCACGAATAATAAGAAAGAGCTTCAGTTATAATTTCTTACTCTTCTCACGCAAAATTTTTATTTGCGTGCGAAAGACTGCGTATTTTTTTTTTTTATAACTGAAAATACATACAAATTAACATAAAGTTAAGAGACTACTTTGCGTACTTTTCCTAGATAGTTCCAAACAGCTTTCTTTATATAGTATTTGAATTTTCTCAAATTAACGTTGCACTAATTTTGAAAATATTTTTATCAATTACGTTATTAATTATTTTTAATTTATTTATGTTTACGACATTACGAAGAATATCTTATTGAATGTGGTGTAAAAATCCATAAATGATCCAGAAGCCGTGGAAGTAAAAATCATTTTCTTTAAATAACACGTCGGAAAAATATATACTCGTAAAGTTGGTCGCTCCAGTAGCCAATCGATATTTCTAGGTAGAAGAAACGTAGTTTTCTCATTGAAACTTTCTCAAGAAACAAGAAGGAATTGTCGAGAAGCGAATGGGAATAACGTGTCTGATCCCATTGAATTTTTTTTCATTGTTCACAGCTAGATGATTCGTGCGTGCCAGTCGACAGTATTGATGCTAATCATTATTCTCATCGAATAAATGAAATTTTCTCGTTATATCGAATGTATTGAACCACGCCAGAATAATATATTCCGCATTAATAAGATGTTTTGTCATCGCGTTCTAATGTGTTCCAAATTTAGGCTACTAGTTACTTTCATTTTGGAAATTACACGCACCAATAATCGTGTCATATAACGAGCAATTTGCGTTAATTGCTACGTTAAAACGCGACGAAAAATATAAAACTCGCTACACGAAACACTATAAATTAGAAGTAATTTTCATTGAAGGTTGTTATGATCGAAGTGTGTCAGCATTAAAACGATAAATTTATATTTTTTGTAAGGCTACGATATAATGTTATAAAAATATACTTTATCGCGTACAAATTGCTTGTTAAAGTTCTGCATTTATGATATATGCAAAAATATGTATATACGTTGTTATAGTAAATGGATGAAAGTACTCTCTAAATTGAGCGAAAATTGAGTTTTTTGAAGAAGAGTGAGAATATTTTCACTCTTGAAAAAGAGTGGCAGATTTGACTTTTTTTGAGTTGAGATTTCACTCTTTTGGAATGAGATTCCTTTTAAGAAACGAAATCTTATATTCCAAAAAAAGGAGTAAGATTTCATTTATTTAGAGAGTAAATCTTACTCCCAAAAAACGAAAATTTCCCAGGATGAAAATATTTTCGTTCTATTTCAGAGATTGGTTCAATTTTCAGTCTTTTTAAGTGAGATTTCACTCTAAAAGATTTAGAGAGTAGGAAAATAGATTTTAAGACTTGCGCAAAGTAAAGGAACAATGAAACCAATGTACGTCACGATCGTTATA